GTGAAATATTTCCGCTTCCTTTTCTCGTGACGTTCTCCCTGCGTACAACTCATCCTTTTAGTCCACCGGGAACAAAAGGGGACCGATATTTCCGGGATGGATTATTGGGTTTTATTGGCGGCTCGATGAACCTCGCCGGATCGGATTTGCAAAGAAACAAAAACACGATTTCGTGCTCCGGTTTTAATCGATCGTCCACGGCGTATCCTGGGATGGCCTGAACGAGCATCGATATCGAAACCGTTCAAACGTGCTCACACGTATACTCCATGAAAATTTTGTCCTGTTACAATTTTGTCTGATACGCGTACGTGCAGACATTTTTACATTCCTGTCTGCAGTGTACAAGATCTCTCTTTTGTGAGGATTTGTCATTTTGGAATCCAGTCTTGGAGGAATTTTGAATTATTTTGAGTGTGCAAGATTTTTTTGATACATGTAAAATGTGAAGTCAGAAAATTATAGTTAGCTATGAGTTACATCTTGAATTTTTACAATAAATTAAATGGAATGCGGCATAATATTATAAATATGTATAATTAGTATGGGAGGAATTATATAATACTAAATTATTGCAAAAAAATATAGTAGCGTGTAGATTATATATTTGCAATACAATATGATTGTATGGAGACTTTATTTTGCAATAGTGAATAAAATAATAGTACCATTTTAAAGAAGACACCATTTTAAAACAAATGAATACAATTGTATTTATTGTCACTTCTTCAAAGATTAATTAAAAATATTTCTGTAGCTCAAATATCTTGTTTTATTATTTCAATAAGTATTAAATACCTTGTTTGCATAAATTATTACTTGTAATACATTTATCAGTACATATTACCAAATTTTATTAAATATATTTAATATATAAAATAAGCAATAATTGTATATATTTATAAATTGAAATATGCAAAATAAAAACTATATATTTAAAGTTAGGTTAGGTTACTATTTATTATTACTTCAAAGATTAATTAAAAATATTTCTATAGCTCAAATAGCTTAAGTTATTATTTAAAAAAGTAAACACCCTGTTTGTATAAATTATTACTTGTAATACATATTAATAAATATTACCAAATTTTATAAAATACATTTAGTATATAAAATAAATAATAATTGCATATATTTTTAAAATAAGATATGCAAAATAAAAGCTATATATTTAAACTTAGGTTAGGTTACATATAGAATGGATTTTATTCAGGTCCTGTATATTATCAATATTTTATACTATACTGTCAATTGCTTAAATATATTGTCTGTTATATTTTTTTCTATATACATATGAAAATATTATCAATTTCCTATAAAAATATTTTCCTAAACATCCACAATAACCACACCAATTTTTTCAACTGCAATGAAGTTTTAAAAAGTCCTACGTTGCAAACGGTAAGTTGAAATATTCAAATAATTTTATTAGCAGTAAGTTGGCAACATTTTTCTGAGTTGGTAATACTTCTAAACTACTTCCGTCGCTGCGAGTAATGAAAGTGCGTTGCGATCGCGAGTGGTAAAATAATTCGATCTCACTAAAATTCCCAATTCGAATAAAACTAAATCTCTTTGTCCGTTAAATAAATTGATGATTCGACCAGGTATGCGGTGAAGTTAATCCTAGCCCGAGGGTGAAACCTTAAGTGTCATAATGACCCAAAGTGTAACGTTATTTCGAAAGGAACGACTTTCAACGGATTTTCGCATTTCCTGCTTTCTATTCTCGGTTTGAAGCTGCGCGTGGCGTAAACGCGCGCGCACGGTCAACCATATTTTATTTTCTTCCGGTGTGCTCCTCGGACGTGATGTATCTCTCGTGTGAATGAACAGCGAACGAGAACGGGAATAATTACGCAAAGAGCCGTGATATCAACAGCCGGCTGTGCTTCCAATACATCGCGTCATTTGTTTGCAAACACACATGCAGCACCGTCGACTCCGAATTGCCATTAATCGATCGACCGAACGGTCAACGTAACTGTCTCAATCATCGCGGCCATCGATTTATTCTCCGTAACAATAACCTCAATCCACTTGCCGATGCTAGGAATCGCGGAAGTATCGTTAACGAAGACTGCGAAGGCTGCAAACAGGCCAAGCTACTTATCTGGTATACACACGGTGATAAAATTTCGAAGATACGAAAGTGAACACAACATTTGTTCTATGCTTCGTTGTTTAACCCTTTGTGACTCATCATTCATACAACAGTTTCAAAGTGTTCTTTCTAACTAAATCTCTGGTGTTATAGAGTTAAACAGTCTTATACAGTGAGTTATACAGTGAAACAGTCTTATATAGGAAAGTAATGCAAAAAACTGAAAGAGTGTGGAAATAGAAAATATGGAAAGTCGAAACGCGTAATTCGGATCAATGTGCAAAGATGGCGACACTGTTGTATTAACATATATTAGCACTTCATATCATTTCTACCCGACAAAAGAACATCGCAAACCCTTACTCATCAACTTGAATGAAACTCGACGAGTTTATGTTTATGCATGATTGGTCATTCTGTTATCTTCTTGATTTACGTAAATATTATTATCCGCGCACAATAAATTAGAATAAAATTGCATGGTTTTCAAATTCTACAAATGAAATTTTTTAAAAGTATTTTACGTCGGTTTTTTTATAGCATGATTTTAGTATAGCTTCTCTTATTACTGTATGGTTATATTACATTTTTTTCTTGATATTTTAGATGTTATTGGTCGAGCTTTTAGCTTTATGGGGCTATCTGCAGAATAAGACACATGTAAAAGCTTCTACAATGGCTAATGCCGAAGGTTGTATTATCGCTGAATGTAGTGAAATACCACTCGATATATTACATAATGTAAAACAAGACAATACTTTGTTTATTTTAAAAGTGATGTCGTAAATCTTTTCTGCAAATAAAGGTAACCTTATTAGTAAAAAAAGTAATGACTTATTATATTCTTTTTACAATTATTGTAGTTTATATTAATAAAATGTGCATTTTAAATTTTTGTTTTAAAATAATTTTCCCTATTTTTGCATTTTACGAATTGAGACAATTTAAAAGGGTGTGTTTTGATTTTGAGGTTAGTTTTCACACCTTTCAATGGCCGTTACGCACTAATGAAATATACTATTATTGTTATCTGAAATCACTCTATAAAAGAATAGTTTTATCTAAATGGGTAATTAAGGGTTCATGGTATTCATTTGTAAATGACGTATAAATTTCCATAAGAAACTACAACCCATTTTAGCAGGAATTTTAACCGCAAATGATGGACTTAAATCTTTAATGACGCAACTATGGTTTTAGCTTTAAGTTTATATTTTTCATATCCTTTTAAGGTTATATTTCCTTAGCTATTTACTTAGCTATTTTATTTATTGTATTAAAAATAACTATTTTCATAATATACACAAATTTTTTGTTTTTAGCGTAATTTTAAATAATGCAAATAATTTTCAAGATACAAGAATATCTTATTTTTGTTGCATATGCATACCTTGTAGTCTTGGGTCGCAATAGACCCGACCATCTTGAATCATGAGTTAATGTACTCAATTCTATGAAAATAATTTTTTCTAAATATTTGAAATTTTAATTCAATAAAAATATTTCTTAAAACTGATGTGTATTGAAATAAATATTTTAATTATTAGTATAGTAGATATCATAGAATACTGTAAGTATAATAATTGATGATATTATAAATAATATAATTTATGTTAAAAATATAATTTTCTATTAACTAGACATTTTTTACAATTCCTATAATTTTATTTCAACAAACTCTACAATTTTATTGTTTAACTCAATTTAAATGATAATATTGTATGATATAATTAAATGATATTAAATGTCAAACCAAAGTAACTTGCATTTATACTTGATTGTAGATAAATAAAAATGTTGTAATTAAATGCTTCAATATAAATATTAAAAAACAACTGTTTTAATTAAATCCTGTAATTTAATTGTTCCCAGAACATTTGATATTTTAATTTCATTTAAATTAAAACTAAATTTCAAATATACGTCTAATTTAATTATACATTTCTGAATAATTAAAAACTTCCAAGATATTTAACTGTCTACAAATCTTTATCGTTCATTGCCACCTAATACTGTTTTCAAAGTTTCAAATGACAACTAAAAATCTAAATCTAAATAAAAGAACAATTTTAAGAACGCTTAGAACAGTTTAGCACAGCTGGGTAAATAATTTTAAATATGAAGGGGAACAGCAGTTTCTTTCTATTCAAAAGTAAACAATCCATTTAAATGGCCGACAACTGGTTTGACGTTCTAAATGTTCCCTTTCAAAAGTACTGACGTCGCTGAAATATCCACAATAACGACAATTTGTTGCTTTACTTCTCACAAAAACCGATCATTCAACTTAATGTCAAATAAAAGTAAACTCATAGAGAAAAAGAAATTAATAATCCTCCAGTTGGAACATCCAACCATTTATTGTCAGAACAGTACAAGTTTACTTCTTTACTATTCTTGAAGAACTTGACACGCAACTATTACGTATAGCATGCTTTCATAACCTGTTCTTTGAAATTTCACCCTTAACATTCGCCGCCACTATAGAGTTTAATATTCGCTACAAACTATATTAACTTTCGATATATCATAAATCCAATACATTCATAATTCTTTCACATACAAATTTTAAGTAATATTAAAAATTTTAAGATGACTATTTCACAGTGGTCCAGTATTAAACCAATACACTAATTCAAAATGGTTGAATATTGCTTCACCGCGTTATTTTATTATGTAACAAAGAAAGTGGAATTTGAAAACCGGATTGAAAACACAAAACAAATCGGAAAATGTTCTAGAAATATTAACGCGTAATATCTTCAATAATTGATTTAATCGGCTTTCTACTACGGTAGCGGCGAAAAACTAGTCGACAACAGTGAGTTCAACGTTCCACGTGTAATTTCAAAACAGGTAGCCGTAGAGCCAAAGAGACACACTAAAACAAACTCACCATTCGAATTCCTGTCTCGACCAGCTTTTTCGACGTTATCAGATGAAACGTCTATTCAGCGTTGATCTTTCCGTGTTCCTGGTTTCGCGCCCTCTCTCGTCTGCGTATATTTACAAACTCACTTTTCCGCGGATGTCAACATACGAACACACAAGATCGTTACACGTCAGTTTTCTGACGATTCGGACACTGATCAGCTGTACACGAAACTAACACACCGGGGGTCACGTGGAAAGGGATCACTCTCACAGCACGTTTTTCTAAATAAAAGTCCGAGAAAAGGTTCTGTTCCGGTCACATCCTCGGTTAGGTTCGCCTCAGCTGAGGCTACCGGTTCTCTCCGGAAACGTGTGACGCACCTGTTTCGACAGATTGTCTCTCGATACAAACGATTCTTGCGCACGTTCGCGGACACTTTCACAAGCTCTTTTTTCCTCTTGGCATTCGTGCCACGTTCGAATCGTTCCCGCCGAGTTCGCTCTAAATCGTTTGAGATGTTCAAGGGTTTCACAGTTTGCTTTGCGTTTTCAGCGTCGTCGAATCCGTGATAGAAGATAGGGACAGTTGAATGGCTGTTTATCCGTCGCGATCGGTTCCATCGGGATCATGATCCACGTTGAAACCAGTTTCTCTATTCTGCCTTGAAGAACGGATACGGCTCACGAAGAGAGCTGCCTTCCGTTCGATGCAGACGTCGAGTGGCGACTGTCGTTTCTTCCGACACTCGGGCTGCTCCTGGCCTGTCCCTTCCCCCTCCCTGGTCGGCATCGAGTGAACCGACTATACAACCACGAATTTATGCTATTACCGTACCACTGCCACCCCCGATGCTCCAATGCGCCTCCGCCTATGGCTACTGCTTCCCGGTGGCCTCCTCTTCAATCGCAGCCACCGTGACACCATGCTCCCTTCGCCCTCTAGTCACCTACACGCGCGATTTACCTCGGGAAACTCCTCACAGCTATTTTTTAACACGATCTTTAACCCTTTGCACTCCTTCATTTCTATTACACCTTCATTTACAAAATAAATAAAAGAGGTGCTCAATAAAATATATTATAACAGCGTGGAGTATGTGACAAATTTTTCATTTATTGTAAATAGTAAATAAATACAAATGTATATATTCAACCAATCCATTCATCTGAATTATTTATATGATTCAAGAGAAATGTGATGGCGAGCCACACTCCATATAGGAGTGCAAAGAGTTAACCCTCTTAATGTTTAAATAACCTTGATCTTTTATGAGAGAAATTAAAGGTTAATGTTTAAATAATCTTAATTTTTTGTAAGATAAATTCAAGCAATTTTTTGGTGTTTTCCAGAATTGTGTAGGACTCGTTTTATTTTGTTTATTAATGGTTTATCATGGGTGGTTCTTTTTTGAGAAGTTCTTAATGGGTGTCGATTTTTAAGTGGATTATAGTATTGTAAATGTATGCAATTTGGTATGACTCAGATGGCATGATTGGTGTGTATTTATCTGTATTTTTTCCAGCTTTTAGTGACAAGTATTATTTAATTGTTTGTATTTGGCAAACTGTTGTAATTAAGCTAAACACTTGTATAAATAGAATAATAAATTTTAATTAATGGACAGCTGTATGATAAAAGAAAAAGGGCGATTAGTTTGCACAGAATTGTTTTAAATTTGTTATTTTTTGAAAGTTTTAATTGGGAATTTGGAAATTTGAAATTTTGGAATTTGTGCATTAAAAAATTTATACACTTTAAAATTTGAGTGTTTAATTACTTGAGCATTTAAAAATTTAAGCGTTTGAGAATTTAGAAATTTAAAAATTTAAAAATTTGGGAATTTGGAAATTTGAGAATTTGAACATTTGGGAATTTGGAATTTTAAGAATTTGAGAATTTGGAAATTAAAAAATCTGGAAATTTGGAATTTTAAGAATTTGAAAATTTGGGTATTTCAAATTTTCGAATTTAATAGCTTCTAAATTCTTGTATTCTCAAATATCCACGTTTCTAAATTACCACATTCCTTAATCCATATTTTCAAATTTCCACATTCCAAAATATCCACATTTTCAAATGACCACATCCACATTCTCCATAATTCAAATTCTGTATATTTCAAAATTCACGCATTGAACAATTTTCAAATTCCTAAATCTATTAATTCCTAAATTTCTAAACTGTCAAATTGTCAAATTTCCAAATTTTTAAATTTCTAAATTCATATGTTCTTAAATTCCTTAATTCTCAATGTATTAAATCGTCTTTATAAATTCCCAAATTTTTGTATCCCTAAATCCTCAAAATCTCAAATTCTCAAATTCTCAAATTCTCCAATTCATAAATTCATAAATTCTCAAATTTTCAAATTTTTAAATCTCTAACATGCCAAATGTTCGAATCTCCAAATTCTCAAATTATTAAATCTCTAACATCCCAAATCTTCAAATCTCTAAATTTCCAAATTCTAAAATCCTCAAATTCTCAAACTCCTCAATCCCCAAGACCTCAAATTCCCAAATTCTCAAATCTCCACCTTTAAAAATTCCCAAACAAACTCTGACAAATCCTTTTCTACGTTTTCCTCCTAGAACCAAGATGCATAAATAAGACGTCACTTTACACTCAGAAAAAGTTCATCACTCGTCAAACCTGTTCGAATAACCAATCTTCCTCATAATCAAAAATTCCACAACCACTTCATCAACTATACCACATTCATCATCACTTTTAAATGTACCACATCCACCTGTTAACAGAAACATTCGTTTACCTGATCTGTTCCTACAATCACTTACCCCAAACCGTCGTAAAAATTCCTGGCCGACAATTCACCGGAGGATTAGCTTTTTCCTCGATTCACCAAACCCACCTCTTCCCGAGAACGAGCGTATTATATACGGGATGGGGTGAGGTCCCCCGCCAAATTTGTCTGTGAGGGCACGATCTGGACATCCGTGGACTTCGTTAAAGTATCTCCCGTTGGAAGCAGCAGGTCCTCCCCCTGCGTTGTACAGGGTGTTTAAAAAGTAACTGTAAACACTATGACATGATTTTATTTTGATGAAAAAATGCAAATAAAAACTTTGTGATTGACTTAAAGTTTGAAGTTCAAGATCAAATTTCACTGTTGAGGGTTAGGTCAATCATCATCCTACTTAAGGAGAGGATGAAATGTCTACAAGGAACTGTCAATTGGAACTCAACCGTTTGGCTGCAAAGCGATCTCAAAGTTTCGTTAGTGATATATTTGTAATGAAGATATGGGTACATTGTTATAAAGGTTCATGAAGGGTACGTTTGTAACGGTAGTATGTAAGGTATAAAGAAGTGTAACTTCGAAGATGTTCAATCTATGAATGAAATGAATTGTTCAATCTATGAATTCATTTTGTGGACTTAAATGTGGATCTACATTTGTGGACTCACATTTTGTGGATGTACATGTGAGCAGTGGATCAGTAACAAAACTTCATTATCAAAAGGAGAAGGTTGAGTTAGAACTTACAGTTAGTTAGGGATATTTCATCCTCTTGAAAGGATGAAGGATTTGACCTAGACAGCGAAGGTCATTGAAATGAAACTTAAAGTTGCAGTAATCGGTGTATTTACTTTTAGTGCACCCTGTACCTCCGCGTGTTCGTGCGAAAAGCGGCACGGTGGTGCGTGTGCACGCACGTGCGTGGCGTGCCACGCGATTCCGGTCCCCTGTGGAATAAATCAAGTGAAGAAAACCTGCCGGAAGGTATTAACGTTGGGGTCGGTTCGCCCCGCGTGTTGTGTCCCTTCTCGCATCGGAGAGGGTTAAGCTATCCCCTCCGCCCTCGTCCCCTTATCGCGGGTCCCTGAAACGCCATGTACTCCCGGGGGATCTTCTCGTCTGGATTTACTCGGCTGACGAGCGATCTGCACGCCGGCCGGCCACAGCACGAGAGGACTCGGTCAAATAGAGAGAAGAGAATACCGGAGATACAGAGAATTCGGCTGGTGGGGGATGACAAGAGCGAGGGAATCCCTTATCAGAGGTCGCGCATGACGAGACAAGCTAATTGTGTTATCAGTGCACAACGGACGCTGCCTCTACCTCCGCGTCCTTTCCGATCTACCGAGCGTGAGTGTTTATTCTGTAAACTGTGCTAACATGCGCCCTGACCGTTCCTCTTGTCTGCCCGCTGAAAATTGCACGCTGAGTGGAAAGCGAGATCGAACCACTCTGTCCACGCTTTTCACGATGTTTCGATCCGCGCCAACATGTGGAGCGGTCCGCAATTAACGGGACAGGTTGTTTGATCTTTTGGAGATGCTTTGTTTCCTACACGCTTCTTGTTTTCGGTGATTATGGCTCGACTGAACGTTCGATATGGGGGTTAGGGGACCTTGACCTTCAAGTACGTTGTCAAGGATTGCATTCTGAACAACTTTTCTTTGTAACCGTTGCTCGACCTCAGTTTTCGAGATATTCATTCGTACAGTCCAGAACAAATCTGACTTTCTCAGGTGATGGTATTGGGATTTTTAGGGACTTGAATATTTTGAGATGTTTTTTTAAAGATTTTTGCATCTGGGCATTTTTACATATGGGAATATTTAGATATGTGGAAATTGTGATGTATAAATTTTTGCTTCGGGATTTTGGGATTAGGGAGTGCAAGGCATGTATATTTGAAGATCTAGGGATTTTTGTGGGCCAAGGATTTTGAGATATATGTCTCTTTTGGTCAAAAAATTGGAAGATGTGGGGATTTAGGGAATTTTGTGATTCGGCGATTTACTGGTCTAGGGATTTTCGAGGTAAGAGATTGTTGGGTCTAGGGATTTTTAAGCTTAGAGATTGCAGGATCTAGGGATTTTTAATCTTAGAGATTGCGGGATCTAAGGATTTTTAATCTTAGAGCTTGCGAGGCCTAGGGATTTTTAATCTTAAAGATTGCGGGATCTAAGGATTTTTAATTTTAGAGATTGCGGGATCTAGGGATTTTTAATCTTAGAGATTGCGGAGTCCAGGGATTTTTAAGCTTAGAGATTGCGGGATCTAGGAATTTTTAAGTTTAGAGATTGCAGTATCTATGAATTTTTGGGGTTAGTAATTTTTAAATATATAAATTTTTGAATTTAGAAGCTCGAGGGTTTGGGGACTTTTTGTACTAGGATTTAAAAATGTAGTAACTTGGGTATGGACAAATTTCAATATTATGAAAACTGAGAATTTTAGAATTTATAAAATTTAATGCAAAAAGTTTTACAATGTAATAATTTGAACATTTTTACATTTGGAAATTTGGAAATTTGAGGATTGAAGAACTTGTACATTTGAGGATTTAAAAATTTGGAAATATAGGGATTAAAAATTTGGAAATTTGGGAATTGGTGATATGAAAATTTAGTGACGTCATAATTTAAAATTCAAGAAACTTCATTTACAAATTTACAAATTTATCAACTTGTAATTCCAAATTTTGAAAATTTAGCATTATGAAAATTTTAAAAGGAAATTTCAAAATTTTTCATTTTTGGAATTTGAAAATTTAGAAAGCTTGATAATTATTTTCATCGTTTGGTAATTGAAACATACGTAATTTAAAATATTGAAGACAGGAAAATTAGTGAATTTAAATAATTTTTAAAATTGATCATTTTTTTGTAATTTTTTGAAAATTTATAAAATAAAAAAATTTTCAATTTATTTTATACAAATTGAGAATTCAATTTATAAAAGTGTGAGAATCCAGTACATATTTTAGAAAGGGTGAGTACATTTTTATTCATCCGGTTACACCACTAACTTTTGGTGCACACAAGTTTTACAAGCATGGTACAAA